TCGAGGGACCCTGCTCCGTGGTCCGCGCTGCTGGGGAGAGGCGGGGCCGCCCCAGGGCTGCCTGCTGCATGGAGCAGGGGCGAGCTGGGGACTGGCGCTGCTCTGCGGGGGAGACTGCAGCGGTCCCAGCCCAGCTCCTCTCCGCGCTGCTGCCCGGCTGCCTCCCTAGCCCCACCGCGCGCCTAACTCCAGCCCCCCTCGCGCTCCTCGCTCCTTCTCCAGCCCCCTCCCCGGTGACTTCCTCTTAAGGTGGCCGGGGGCTTGCGGCTCACCTGGCTCACGCTGCTCGCTACAAGCAGCCCAGCCCAGCGCCGAGACCAGCAAGATCTTGTCGGAATCCGGAGTCACGCCACTGCGCTCGGTGGAGTCACTCCGCATCGCTTCCTCCCTGTGTAACCGATCACAACCTACCATGCGGTGCCCTTTACATCCGACCGACAGTACTAAATGCAGTGCAGTGTCTGCATCCTCCCGAACCAGCGATCGGCAACGTGAACTTACTGGATAGGAAAGTTACATTAATTGGCTGGATTTAAGGACATCTTTCTTCTCTCTCCTCGCCCCAGCCAATAATGTTCCTGTAGTTCACGTATCTGATCGGCGAGTGCTATAGGATCCAATGGCTTATCGATGTTTTTAATGGAGAATTTATGTCCATTAACCGTACTATCCCAAAGTCATCGGAGATGCTTTGCTAGCAGGCAGTTTATCGCTGCTGGAAGCCTAGAGAAAGAGTAAAGAGCGATGAGGCGTTTTGTACGAACCATTGCCTCGGGCGTGGGTCTGATTAGATCCTTTGTCTGACAAGAGTGGGCGTTGGGGAGTAAGAATGGGTGATGAGAGGATCAGGGTGGAGAAAAGTATCAGACCCCTTGAATCCGTCTCTAGGCGAATCCCCAGGGACCGAGAGGGGAGAATTCTTGACACATTGACTAGCCTGTCAGTTTTTAGGTTCCTGGGAGTGGAAAGGGGCAGATGGATCCGCATAGCTTATAAAAAGCGATATACTTACTATTTTTAAAGATAATAAGTGATTTAATTTCGGTCGGATTTAGGAGACAGTAGTAAGCATACAATTCTCTTTTAGTTTGGAGATGCAAAAAACAAAGTCAAATAAGGTTAACTGGACATCTACCTTTTAATTGAAAAAACAGATAAGCCAAGTTTTGCATGCAATTGTGCACGTACTACCAGCTCCAGCTCTGCTGTTTATGGAAAGTGTTCCAACTTTGTATTACCTGGATGTTGCTTCCCGACCCAGTGATCAGGGCTGTTTATCTTCTTCCTGTATTTGCCAGAGTGATATTTGTAAAATGTAAGGACTTTCTATTTTCCTGATAGATCTTTATATACTCTGCGATTTGGTATTCCAGATAGCCCACAGATCACAGTCATTGGTCTATTTCAGCAGACGCTCTAGAATCAAGAGAGAAGCTAAACGAATATGAAATAGGTCAGAAGCCAACAAATCATTTTAAGCCTCTCTCTTAGGTTTTACCTTCATATGTGCATGCAGAGCAGAGAGAGGGAATGGATGCAAGCAGCTATTTTAAAAAATGATATATTTTTAGGTATAAAAATGGCAGATCAATCCTGGTCATGTAACTATTAAATAGGGCCAAAGTTGAAATGTTGTAATGTGGAGAATACGAAAATAAAAAGGAGAGGGTTACAAAACTGTCTTCAAAATAAGAACATCCTTGCTAAGAAATAACAAAGGCTGGATCTAGTTCTTGTTAATGTTAATGGGATTTTTTTTTTTTTGCCATTCTCACTTGTCAGAACAGGATCAGGCCTAATTCAATTTATGCATTCAGAGTAAAATCCATTGTACATGCAAAAATCCTGAGTAATCAGTCTCTGTGTGGTTGGAGTGGAGTGGGGTTCCAGAAGTGAAATCCAGTCCCACAAGCAATGACGTGAGTTGGGGATGCCCCAAACTGCCCCCTTTCCCTTCACACATTGCTCTTTGCTGGTCATTTTAGTACAAGTTTTTCATCAGTCTCTGAAATGTCTCCTTCACGCTGCGGGTATATTAAGATCTTAGGGCTGCCTAACTTTTAGAGGTGCTGAGCTCTAAGAGCTCCAGTTCAAGTCAATGTCTACTTAATGTCTCTGACAGTCAGGCCTTACATTAGTAATTGTCAGAAATTTCAGGCATACAATTACTCTGAGTCAAATCCTATTGTCATTACAAAGTCTGATATTAGCGTAGCAGTCACATTTTGAAAATTTGGAATGAATTAAATAATTACAACTTTATGATTTCTTCTAATGTATAAGAAAGTTATATACAGTACCTCTGCTGTTTGAAAATGATGCTTTCCACAGGACAACACGACTGACCGTCCCATTTTCTCCCTACTTCCTTCTCCTCTGATTCCCTCCAAAATGCATGTATTTAAAAAAAAATCTACAGGTTATTTGTGCCTCCATTTCTGTTCTTTTCCCTTTCCAAAAAGTGCAAGCCAGATTCCTTCCTTATATAAAACAATTAGGGATGAGCATGGAGAGCAGTGGGAAGGGGGATTTGTAATCTCCAGTTATGACATTTGTGCAGCTTAAGCCAGATGTGTCACAGTGAACTGGCATAACACATGGCAGAAACCATGGAAGTAATCATTTTACTAGCATCAGCATTATATGCATGATACCGATGGCATCATAGGTGTTAACTGGCTGAAACTGGGAAGATGAACCATGTGGGAACTTGAGATCTAGTCTTGCTTCCTTTGAACTCACTGGAAGCAGAACTGAGCCAACAGTGAAGAAGTGAATGACTAGATGGATATTGTACCTCTTCATAGTCCCCTGAATGCTAGATTTGCCTTGTGCTTGTGTGATTTGTATCCTCTTTCCCCATTGAGTGCTAAGGTTCATAATAGTGTGTTGTGAAAGTATTCCCATTGATTTTAGTATTGTAGTCAGGGACTGTGGGTCTAAGTTCCCTCTGCTGAGCCTGCGGCTAGCTATCCAACCCCTCAGGATGGTTAATGAAACCAGCTGGGTCACAGCAGAATAACCTTGGCTGCCGGGCTGCCTTTAAGTTTAGCAAAAGCAGTAGTTTACAGGCTTCCATCCCATGCTGGAATACATGGCAATGAAATGGTAGTTAAGGAAGTGAAAAATGCTTAAAAATGGAGACATTTTGAAAATGTGAAGAAATGAAAATGTGACTTCTTTGAGTTAGCAGGAATTTAAAAGTTTAGTTAAAAAGAAATTTAAAATATAATGTCAGGAATTATGGATGAAGAAGAAAAGATGACGATTCAATCAAGTACATGGCAAAAAAAAGGAAAATTAGCTGCTTCAAAGATATGAAATGATCAGTGAAGTACTCACATTTGGATCATTAACTGGTCACTGTAGCTAGAATAATAGTGTATATTTATTGAATAAACACAAAGATGAAACATGGAATACATAGGATTAAAGAAACAGTCGGTGACTCGACATGGGAATGCAGAGAGTCTTCCTAGGAAAGGAAAACTCACTATGAAGATTGCACAGAAAGGCTTAAATTCAGCTTGTGCTATCTATCATGGAGCTTCATTGAATAGTTTCAAACTTGTGGAAGCACTGGCACCTCCTTCAGGACTAAAATCCTGAGCCCTGCTATATCTTGCAGCTCAGAAGCCTGAAGGCCCAGCACACCCTGTGGGCCTGCAGCCCTGAGTCCTTGCATTACCTGTCCATAGGGCTAAATTCTCAAACTTTGGTGCCACCCTCTATGGGGCTAAAGCCCCAGACCTGGCATCCTCCCCTCATGACTAAATCCCTGAGCCCCAACAACCTCTACTCATGGAGTTAAAGCTCTGAGATCCCCTGCCCTGCAGCTGAATCCCTGAATGGGGAAAGTGTATGTATGGGGAGAAGGATACAGGAAATAATCTGAGAATTTAAGGCCTGCTTCAGATGCTATAAAGTGACAATATGTCAAGTGAGATTTAGTGACAGTATCAGAAGAGTGAGGTAACATTAAAAAACCCTCTTCTAATGTTTTAAGGGTACAGAGCAGGCTAAGGGTATGGGGGGGGGGGGTAATGTAGTCATACGGAGTTGCAAATGAAGCCCGGGATTTGAATTTCCCGGGCTTCATTTTCATAAAGCCGGCTGGTGCCATTTTTAAATGCCAGCTAGGTCGGACTCCGTGCCACACGGCTACACGCGGCACGGACTAGCTAGTTCGGATTAGGCCGCCTAGTTTGAACTAGGGGGGTAGTGTAGACATACCCGATGAGACTAGTGACCTGAATGTACAAGGAATATAGTAGGTGACAGTTATGGACTCACTAATACATAGTTTCTATGGCAAAAAGGGACGATTATAAATATCTAGTTGATCCTCCATTTAACACAGATCACAAAAATAATTTCTAGAGCTTCTTTGTCTCTTAAACACATCTATTCTTGATTGTTACACCTTATTTCCAGTCTAAATATGTTTAGCTTCAATTTCTAGTTTATAGATGACATTATACTTTTCTCTGCTAGACTAAAGAGCTCAGTATCAAATATTTGTTCCCCATGTGGGTATCTATAAACTGCAATCAAGCCATCCCTTAACCTTCTCCCGTTAAGCTTAATAGATATGAAATGATCAGTGAAGTACTCACATTTGGATCATTAACTGGTCACTGTAGCTAGAATAATAGTGTATATTTATTGAATAAACACAAAGATGAAACATGGAATACATAGGATTAAAGAAACAGATGGTGACTCAACATGGGAATGCAGAGAGTCTTCCTAGGAAAGGAAAACTCACTATGAAGATTTAACTACCGTAAGTCTATCACTATAAGCCATATTTTCCATTTTTTTAACCATTTCATGGACTCTTCTTTCCAATTTATCAACATCTTTCTTGAATTGTGGCCACTAAAATGGCACATAGTATTCTAGAAACAATGGTGCAAAGGCCAAATACAGAGGTAAAATAACCTCTCTACTCCTACTCAAGATTCCTCAGTTTATGCATTCCAGGGTTGACATAGATTTTTTGTCTGTAACGTTGCACTGGGAACTCATGTCCTGCTTATTAGTCATAACAATCCCCAAATCTTTTTCAGAGTCAACGTTTCATTGTTTCCCGGGATTGAGTCCCTCTATTCTGTAAGTATGACCTGCATACATTCTTTGTTCCAAGATGTGTACATTTACATGTATCATTATTAAAATGTACATTGCTTGCTTGTGCCCAATTTACCAAGTGATTTAGATCACTCTGAATCAGTGGCTTATCTTCTTCATTATTTACCATTATTCCAATGTTTGTGTCGTCTGCAAACTTTATCAGTGATGGTTTCATGTTTTCTTTTGGGTAGTTAATACAAATCAATTCTTGGGGAAACCCACTGGAAATAGACCTTCTCAGCAATGATTTCCCATTGACAGTTATTCAGTTAGGCATTTTTAAACCATTTAATGGGTGCCATGTTCATTTTATATTTACCTAATTTTTTAATCAAAATATCATGAGTACCAAGACAAATGCCTTATAGAAGTCTAAGTATATTATATCAACACTGTTAGCTTTATCAACCAAACTTGTAACCTCATCAATATATCAAATTATTGTGACAGGATCTACAAACCCATACTGATGTGCCTCTCCTTACCCTTCTTTAATTCTTCATTTATCAAGTCCTATATCAGCCACTCAGTTATCTTGCCCTGGATCAATGTCAGCCTGACAGGCCTAAAATTACTCAGGTCATGCTGTTTATCCTTTTTGAAAATTGACACGTTAGCTTTCTTTCAGTCTTATGGAACTTCCCCATCACACCAAGACTTATCGAAAATCAGCATTAACAGTCAAGCAAGATACTCACCTAGCTCTTTTAAAATTTGTGAATGCAAGTTATCTTGATGTGCTTGTTTAGACATTTTTAACTTTAGAAACCTCTGTTTACTAAAGATACTATTGGAATGGAAAAATAAGACCATACGATAAAAGTGCATTATCTGTCCCATACCTCAAATACAGAATAGAAATATGTATTGAGTACTTCTGCCTTTTCTGCATTATCATTGACCATTTTACCATATCCATCTAATAATGGACAAACAGCATTGCCAAGATTCTTTTTTGTTCCTATTATTTTAAAAAACCCTCCTTATTGTCCTTAACTCTGCTGACCACAGAGTTCTCCTTGTGTTCCTTGGCTTCCCTTTTTAATTTGCTACAATTCCAAATGTCTCCATATGTGGGATTATGGTTTGTTGGACATATCATAAGAATGAGTCTGCTTCACCATAAAGCATAAGAAGTTGTTACTTGATGTTCAGTGCTTATTCCTGAAGCTGTAATTACCTTCATGTCTGCCTTACACCCAGCCTTGTTCCTGTCTGGTTTCAGCTTGCCACAGCCTTGTTCTGACCCTTGGCTTGTCTCCTGGCTCCATCGCTGACTCTTGGCACTGACTCTTGGTTCCAATTTCTGGGCTGGCATCCAGCTACCACTAGATCCTGGTCCCTGTCACTAATAGGGGGGAAATAAAGCTTCATCACAGCAAAAAGTAGTATTCAGTCCTATAACAGAATGCATATAATTTAGTTATTAAAATAATAGAGTTTGCTGTTGTTGCCATTGAAGCCTGTGGCAAAGCCTTGTAATACTCTAACGATAATAGGGCTAGGTTCAATAATACTAGTGATTCTTTATATATGAACAATGCTCAGGTGTGCAACAAAAACCTTGTAGAGATATGAAAATAGATGAATATACTCATTATTGCAAATGAAAACAAAAGAGAGTTTAAAAAATCCTTACAAAAAGTGACATGTATTGAACTAAAGGATGATTTGTGTAACATTTGTGCTGCACTATCCGAGCATAACAAAATGAATACAGAGAGAGTCACCACCTTAATTTTGATATTTTCTTTCATACAGACTTTACAATATTTTGACATATAAAAATAGTTATTAATTTATGGAGTGGTCTACAGGCAAGCCAGTAATACTGTTTTCCTAATGTCTCTATAACAGATATTGCTCCTCCCTCAATGTTAAATTATTATTTTATGAAAGGTGATTATCTTTTATCTGTTCAGTACTGTTTTTCTATGTAGGGTTTGCATACTGTGTGTTTTGTTTCAGAAAGTCAGTTACTAAAAATTAACAATAATGTTTGCAGTTCATGTTGCTTTTTGTGTACTGAGATTATGTACTTCCCAGAGAAGTTATTTTAGTATTCTTGTGTCCTCTCCATGGTTAGCAATAAGGAAGAGCTACTGGGAGGTTATTTGACCTTCTTGTGATCCAGGGAGATTGAGCTGGAAATTGCTGAGACTAGAAAAATATAGTTAGAATGCATATGAGTACTTCTAAAGTCTGAGTTCATAAGGCAAGTATACTATGTCCATATATTATGGACATTTATTTTACAACATACATTATGAGTTTGAAAAGAAAACATCTCTGCTTTATAAGATGAGTCCTGATTATTACTCTTTCGGGGGGTTTTTAATGCCTCACATATATATTAGGTGTTTCAATGAGGAAAGCTATTGTTCCTGTCCAGTAGAGTTTAAAAGCTAAATGTAATGCATAAATCAGCATGTGAGAGTGACAAAATAGTAAAGTGGGGGACGGGAAGTGAAATAGGAAAACTGTCATAGCAGTATAAAATGCCTTTGAAAGAGATTGTAGGGCACAAAAGTTAAACACTACTATTCTAATGCAATGGTTCTCAACATATGGGAAGCAGTAACATCAGTCCTAATAATATAGTTATAGGCCTTTCAAATTATACTCGAATGATATTTTAGGACTTTCTAAGTACTGCACAAATATAATTTAATTAAACTGCACACTTCACTGTTTGGTAGATATGGCAATGGGATGAAAGATAGCATTGTAGTTAAAACTCAGGACTCGAGGATTCTGAGTTCTGCTACCAACTCTAATGTAGACTTGCAGAGTGATAGTTAGCAATCCTTTAAGGGCCTTTTATTTTTACATCCATTTGCATAGTGGTGAGCATTATGAATTTCCATTTCATTGACTTCATTGTGAGTTCACAGCATTCAGTCATTGCAGGAAGCAATCTTTAATCTCTATTGGCTTCAGTTTTCTCATGTGTAAAATGCACATACTAGTAATATTCACCAACTACAAAAGGGATGGTCTGAGGCTTGGTTCATCCATGTTTAAAAAGTGCATTGAGAACCTTGGACAGAAGGTTCAATGGAAATAAAAGTATTGTGGATTACTTTCTGTACCCCTGAAATGCAGCCATCTCAGAGGCAAAACATTGCAGCTGGCAGCAACAATATGATTGGAAAACAAGAAGCAAAGAGTCTCTCATACAACTGGAATAGCGGGGATTTTTTTTTTAGATTAGAAAAATGTAATTTCTCCAATACCACCACTCAGAACTGTTCATAGGAATGTGTAATTAGGCTCATCCCTGGCCTCTGACACCTGTTGCAATCAATGCGCTGGGGTTGTGCATGACACAAAGCTTTCCTTTATTTTTTTAAAACCATCCTAAGGTCGGAGAGAATGGGCATGAGCCTAACAGGGAAGAAGTGGGAACCTCCTGATGCAGGAGGAACAAAGGAGAAGACAGTCAACTCTCCTTTTTAAAAAATCTGTAAAAATTGGCATGAACCCTACTTATGAATTAGCATCACAGACCCTTTAATAACCATGAGCAACCAGGCCCTTAGTTTATAGATCCAGAAGGGACCATTGTTTCAGAGAGAAAAACACTATCCAAGGAATCTCAGCACTCATGTCCCATTCAGCAGCTGTGCTCCCCCATCCTCTGCTCAGCTTGAGATATATGGACTCCTGACAGATTCAGCTCTAAGTGCAGCTTAGCCACAAGCCTCAGTACTGATCCCGATTCCTTCTGTCTCGTAGCCAGGCCTCCCATTTACTGGTAATAGCGTATTAATTAATGTAACAAAATTACTACTGTAATCATGATAACATAATAATCATCATCACCTGGCACTTTTCGACAAGGCAAGTCTCACAAAAATTACAGAGTGCCATCGTGATGCAGCTATGTCTGTGTTGACTTATGTTTTGAAAATGAATTGAGAATCACTGGAAAACACTGGTCCTGAGCTTTCTAGTCATTCCAGACTTAAGTGAAACTCACCAGGATGGTAACTTATTGTAGTGATTTTCTTTATTAATTACAGGTTTAATTGGAGGACTTCCTTGCAATTCTCCCCTGGGTCCTAAAACCAAATGGGTTCTGTGGGTTGCATTGTCCTACTATAACCCTGAAGCTGCAGTGCTTTGTTGCTGAGAGCATGGGGGTTAGAAGCAGGAAAGGTGAGCAGACCTGGTCATGTGCATCCTTGTATTCAAATATCTAGTCAATTCCAGAGTTTTTACAATACATGCAGGAGCTGCCCAGGCAATGTTAGCCAACTTTTCCTTCTGCATAGCATATTATGAGGATAGTTCTACCCTTTCATGACCTATTTCTCTTCCCAATCCTCCAACCATCCCATTTACTAGTTCTAACGGTGCTTCGGCATGCAGTAAGATCCAACAGACTAAAATCTGAGAAATGCAAGTGAGGGCAAAGCATGACTTTATATGTCTGTGAAATGTACTTGCAGAAAATCATAACAATAGCTGAATCTAAGGAGTATTACTTATACTTCCTTGAGGGCTGGCAGTTGATTTGATAACTGGTTTTTACTTTAAAGAAAATATTAAGCTTTCTTGATATTTTGAAATGCAAATAAACGGGTCTTATTTGCATTTGGGAATCCTTATCAGTTCAATAATTTTTCAAGAGAAAAACAAAGTGGGGGCATGTTGATTAAAGCAACAACAAACAGAACCCACATCCAAGACACAATCCTTATGATCAGTTCCATCGCCAGTCAGCTCTTACATAATATCATCCTAACTTTGGCCACAAGGTGGCAGTGACTTGCAAACAAATCTCACAATATTCAACCTGCAAAAGCAATTTCAAAGTGCCTCCCCTCCCAAGTTCTTCTCAGTGCAACCTCCCTCCCTTTTGTTTCAATACTTAATTCCATTTATTTCAGAATTACTAGGCAACCCACCCCCAGATGTGTAATTTAAAGGTGATGTGCTTGCATTGGGATCTTCAGGATTTGCTCAATTGAGCACCATCATGTGATACTGGGATATAGTGGAGTTCAGCTTTAAGGGGGTGTCTCCAGCTCTCCTCACCAATCTTTAGGATCTGAGCTGGAGAAATACCAGTGGATGCTTTTCCCAGTGCCTTGCTCCTTGTTCTCCATCCTCCCTTCTGCTCCAAACCATCAGCAAATCAAGGAACGGAGGAAAATCAGAACAATTACAAGGTGGGTCCCATTTGTGGTTTCCTCATGTTGTATTTTGTTGATGTTGTTGTGGTGCGTGCGCGCTTTTTGGACTGATGTTTGTGTGGCTCATCAACGAGACAGAACAGGTGTAGCTGCGAGAGGTGTGTGCAGAGATGTTTTCCGGGCCGTCCGGAGCGTCTCTTTGGGCTGTTACCTGTCAGTTTGGACTAGCAGTATGGTAGGCTTCCCTTGGAACAGCTGCTGGGATAGTTTCACCAGGGTATTTGCTGTACCTTTTACCCTTTAGCATCAAACTTCTGATCAAATCCTTGCAGAGAGCAGGCTAGGGCTGTGTGATCCCGAGCGGGGAGTGGGCGTGGGGGCTGGGTTGCAGGGCTTTCTGCCGGCCTTTAATTTCCCCCCTCCTCCTCCATTAGAAGTTCAGGTTAGTGGCTCTCCCCCCCCCCTTCTTTTAAGGCGGGGGAAGGGGAGCCGGGACACAGAGGGCAAAGCACGATGAGCTGTCAGGGAAAGCGCGATCGGTGTCAACTTCATCACTCCTCCTCCTCCCGCCCTCCCCCCGCAGCCTAGCTCCATACAATCCGTGCTGGAGACATGGGGAGGAAAAGAGGGAGTCACAACCGCACAGCACAAGGGGGGGGGGTGCATTTGGGGACTGGAGGCTCCGGCGGCTTCTCTGCTGCGAATAAGGAGCATCGGCATTTCCCCTGTGGAGCCGTCTGCTAAATGCGAAATCGTTTGAGGCAGCTCCTGGCAAAATCAGCGGGGCGCGGGCGCGACCCCGAACGAAGTCCCGCTGCGCGGGCTGAGCCTGTGCCTGAGTTCATTCTCCAGCCCCTCTCTTGATTGGAGAAGGGCCCGGAGAAAGCACATTCCCCCGCCTCGTGCCTCGACCTGCGGCAGCCTCGCCAAGTCCCGGCGTGCTTGGAGTGGTACGACCGCCTCTGGCGCTGAAATAAACATGTAGTTAATGTTTACAGCAAACCCCGTCCTGGCTTGGCTTTTAGCAGGTCACGGCACAGTCGCACTGGCGGGAGTAGATAATCCACGAAGCCCTCATTGCAGGCGCTATCCATCTCTAACTATAGCTCCTGGGTCTTGGTAGCGCTGGTGTCTTCCAACCCAGACAGTTTTCTGTTAAAACAAAATGCAATCGACGCCTTTTGGCGAGGGGTCTGTTTTACCAAGATGAAAGGCTACATATAAAACCCTAATATTGAGCGGGAGATTACACAGACTGGATGAAATTAAACAGTAAATATATTCTAAACCATAACATTGACGTGGGTTGAGGTCTGCTAATAAACTCACTGGGAAAAAAATCAAACTTTAGCCAGTGGGTGCAAATCTCCAAAGCTTGGCCGGCTCCATTAAGTAGCGATTTTAAATAAACGCATATGGGCATAAAGCGCATATGGGTGATAAGCGCATATGGTTATAAAGAATCCACCGCATAAATGCAATGCAAAGCCAGCATGCGATTTAATTGGTCAATGAGTCTTTCTTTACTTTTGTAATCTTCCTGTTGAGTATCTAGGGCCCAACCCTACAGCCTTCACTCTGGCGACGTGTTCAGGTCTGTCTGAGTGAAGAGTGCAGGATCTGAAACCCGGGCATACATAAAAAAAGAGGGCCAGTTACCCTTCTCTCTCCTATGATGAGGACTTACCTTTGTGTGGTTACAAGTGTGTTTGCAGCTATTAGTTATGCCGACTGTCATTTAAAACAACTTCACCCCCTTGAGGTGGCTTAAAATAAAGTGGATTTCAGCGATATATGCTTTTTCAGTTTTTACAATCGAAGATCACATTTGTGACAACAACGTTATGGAGCTGTGATCCAGGAACCATTAACATGGCGTTAACTGGCAATACTCTCTCGTACAGCTCTGACCTTGGGTTAAGCATACAACATTGAAAATAGCTTGCCTGAGATTTGGCAAAAGAGAAAATTCCAGATTCAACAACACCGTTGCTAACTGCAGGTTGTAGCAGAGGTGTGTCAGCTTATTGTTGACTTCCTCCTCACCCCTACTGCACCCCAAATACACATGCCTGAGTTTCTGTGATTTACTAGCCTGCAGCTTTTGCGAAGGAGGGGATTATTTAAACACGTCTATTTGCGTTGCATAGGTAAATATTGATCGCTCCCCCCTCTCTTTTTGCAAACTGTTTAATTTTTTAAAAAAATGTCTTTTTTCTTCTCCCGTCCTGTTGTTCTCTGCTAAACAGCAATTCTGTCTGAGATTAAAGTGATCGGAGTTGCTGATTTGCCTTTGACCCAGTGTCAGCGGCACTTTAGGGACCAGGCGGCCAACAGTAGAATATTAATTAGGTAAGCGACTATGTTTTGCAGTAACTTTTTCATCACTGTGTTACTCATGTCAGATCGGGCTTGTCCTTTGTTTCTTTTATAGCTTAAAAGCTCTATTAAAATGCATAGGAGATGCCATTAAACACATGACAATTTGAGAAAACAACAGATCTAAGGAAATATATTAAAAAGAACTCAGTGGGTAAAGGTTCAGTCGTAAATTGTCACTTTTTCAACCACATTATTGACCCATGTTACATGTAATTTGTTTAAATAGCAAACTATCGTCAGCTGTTCTCTCTCGCACTTGTAAATATTTTTAGCATAATAGAGGGCTTGCTTTCTGTATCCTGCACTTTCTGCTTAGGCAAAACTTCTTCGATGAAGAATTGTCTTTTGAGTAACAGGCAGCTTTAGCCCTTAATTCTGACAATTCACCTTCCAGTCTCTATTTACATTCTAGCCATGAGGGTGTTGCAGCATTTCTAGAGCGATTATAAACATTGTGCGCACATGTACTTTCCCAGCATAGATTAGGCTCCATTCACCCCCTTTCTTCTACAGCTTTAGTGATAGTTTCCTTCTGCATTCAAAGACGAGTTTGGCTCCCAAAAGGAGGGAGCTGAGGCAGGAGAGGGACATTTCGGACCCCCCAGAAGGCGCATATGCATTTAATGGTTAAGTCTCAGAAATGGCAGAGCACACGAGGAAAGGGGCCAGGGATTTCGCAGAAGGGCTTGCCCTCAATATAGCAGTGAATGATTTTCCTCCCCAACCTCTTCCCTCCTGTCATATGGGAAACCTAGTGAAAGGGATTCCATGGTTAACTACAAACGTGGTGTTTTGAAAAGCTTCGGGGGACTAATTGGAATGCGCTTGGGAAGGGTGAGAGGTGGGAGTCATTGAAGGCTCTAGGTCTGAGAGTGATTCCTTTCCCCCTTCGGAAGGCCCAGCCTGGAGGGGACGTAGACTCCATGAAAGTTGTCTTCTGCCTCTAGCCTTGTCTTCTAGCCAGAATCGCTTCGATAAACAGCAGCCCCGCCTCGCCTCCTTTACCACCCTGACACTCCGTGCCTGCGTCTAGTTTGGCGGCAGCAGCACGCGCCCCTTCTGTGCAGTTCTGCCCTCTCCCGCTGGCTCAGGGAAAGTGAGATCGTCTGCCCCCGCGTCTGCAGAGGCCATTGCATTCCCGGGCACCGTGGTGCCACTCCTGCCTCTGCGCTGGCTGCTGGCCCTCACCCACCCCCGCTGTGTTCCAGTCCCAGAGTTCCTCATCTTGGATGGCAAAGGCGTGGCATGAGTGGTAGGACAACGCGTCTGCTCCTGCTCTGCCTCTCCAACCAGAGTCCCGGTTATATTTAGCAGGAGACCACGCGACTTGGCCTTCCCCCGTGCTCGGGCGCCCTCCTCCTAATGCGTTCTCACGCGCATCTCTACAGGGCTCGTCTGCTTTCGAGCGTTGGGAGCAACCCACCCACCAGCTGGGAAGCTCTTCCAGCCCCATTCGCTGTCAACTCGTATAAGAGAGAAATCAGCCTGTGTTCAATGCAGGGCGCTGGGAAGTGACTTCCCTGCTGGAGTCTGTGCACAGCGGGACCGCTCTGCTGGGCACGGCAGGTTCACCGCCCAGCTCTCCGCGTGCTGAATCTCGGCGCGCTTTTTGGTCTGTCCGTGGTGCTGATGAATTCTTCTCGTGCCATCCGCTCTGCTTAGGGGCCCGTCTTTCTTCCGGCGTCCCCTGCTCCAGCGTGAGTGGCTCTGCCGACTAAGGCAGATGGGCGGATGCTGCCCCGAGGTGGATAAGCGTTTGAAATGGGAGAGATCCGCACGGCGAGGGTTTGCTTGGAGGGTAGTCTAGGAACCCTGCGCTGCTGCGGGACGTTTGCTTACTGTCTGAGGCCACTTGGTCCGTTTGGAGAGTTATGACCAAGGAATCACAGAAGCAGCTCACCTACTCTGCATTGCAAAAGAGCCCTCGCTCTCTACAATCAGAGCTGCCTCTGTAAGCCTAGCACAATGACACTATGGCACAAATAAAATAAGAAATAAACACATGTGCTCTTTCCCCTTTGCAGATTGTACCAGGGCATCAGGGAAACGAAGTGACAGCGTTTGGTGAGATCCTGCTGCTTGAGTGATGAGAACTTCTTGAGCTTCTGGAACCAGTGGGGGAAAAAAACCTGTCAGTGCAGTCCAGACCAATGCAGGACATGGATGCTAGTTCCAATAACATGAATACATCATTTCTCTCCTCTCTTGGGAATCAGTCCATCCCTCTGAACTTCTCAGAGAAGAACTCCAGAATCCTACACTTCCCAGATGAAGATTGCCATGTTCCATTGGCCATGGTCTTCACCTTGGCTTTGGTTTATGGGGCTGTGATCATTCTTGGCGTCTCTGGCAATCTGGCCTTGATTATCATAATCTTAAAACAGAAGGAGATGCGCAATGTTACCAACATCCTTATTGTCAACCTTTCCTTCTCAGACCTTCTAATGACCATCATGTGTCTCCCCTTCACCTTTGTATACACTTTAATGGACCACTGGATTTTTGGGGAGGCCATGTGCAAGCTGAATCCTTTTGTGCAGTGTGTCTCAATCACAGTTTCAGTTTTCTCTTTGGTTCTCATTGCAATTGAACGCCATCAGCTGATCATCAATCCTCGAGGGTGGAGGCCCAATAACAGACATGCCTACATAGGGGTTGCTGCCATCTGGATTTTAGCTGTGGCTTCCTCCTTGCCTTTTTTGGTTTATCATGTATTAACTGATGAACCCTTCAAAAATATTACAATCGATGAATATAAGGACAAATATGTGTGCTTGGACTTGTTCCCTTTGGACACTATCAGGCTTTCTTATACAACAGCTCTGTTGGTGATACAGTACTTTGGACCACTTTGTTTTATATTTATTTGCTACTTAAAGGTAAGAGGGAATCTATTTTATGATCTCTCCTTATTTCTGTCTGATTTCTGCTTGTCCTTGTAAAGAAGTGCCTCTGGCTTAAATGATTCTATGTTTTTCTTTGTTGTTGTTGAATTTTGTTTTCTGCAGATATACATACGCTTAAAAAGAAGGAACAACATGATGGACAAGATGCGAGACAATAAATACAGATCCACTGAAACAAAAAGGATCAACATCATGCTGATTTCTATTGTGGTTGCATTTGCAGTCTGCTGGCTGCCTCTTACCATCTTTAATACTGTGTTTGACTGGAATCATGAAATTCTACCTGTTGCCAGCTGCAGCCACAATTTGTTGTTCTTGATTTGTCATCTCACAGCCATGATCTCCACTTGTGTGAACCCTATCTTTTATGGATTCCTCAACAAAAATTTCCAGAGAGACTTACAATTTTTCTTTCATTTTTGTGATTTTCGCTCCAGGGATGATGATTATGAGACTATAGCCATGTCCACAATGCACACAGATATTTCAAAGACCTCTTTGAAGCAAGCAAGCCCAGTCGCATTTAAAAAAATAAATAACGATTATGATGAAAAAATATAATCCCCACCCATGCAACTCAAAGTATTGGCAGAATGGTCATAGGTGATATGGGTCCAAGGAAAAGCACAAAGTTGTAACAAAATGCATAATGATTTTTTTCTAGGAACTCTCTTGTTACTTTGAAATTATATGCTGTGCATTTTCCCCTATTGCTGCATTAATATTCACAGCAGTTATATTTGAATCACATTATAAGATACTGTTGGACCTGTTTCTACTTAGGGTTTTCATCAGCATTCTTTTAATCTTTTATTGCACAGTTATGCACGTCTGCACTGAGGTTTATCTATTGTATTTATTAAAAAAGGAATATTTTTCAGCAGTGTGAATATATACAAGCCTATTGGAAACAATAGTCTGAATGAGACTATCACTAAGAAGACGGTCTGGTATAAAATTAGATCATTCTGATTTGAAGAGCTTTATTTTAAATCCACTTTTAGAGCAGTATTAAATAAAACCACATTAGCAGGAATAGAGAAACAAGAATGGCTCCCTCACAAACCCAAATTAAATTAAATGGTGGTATGTATATGCATTGTTTATAGACATAACTTGTGCTCTAATCAATTAGGAACAAAGAAAGAATTAAGGGACAATTTTTGTTCTCATTTACACTGGTGTATATCCACAGTAATTTCATTGAAATGAACGGAGTTACTCTGGCTTTTCATCAGTGTAACTTTGGCAGAATTTAGCTTTTAATTATGTCTTTGATCCTAATGTTACAGCTAGATTTAATGATGCTTATTTCCAGGGCTCGACAGGGCAATCTACTCGCCCGTGGCAAGTAGATTTTAGCCCGGCACGGCGCCGCAGCGCGATCAGTGCATGCACAGTGCAGTCTGTGCATGCGCAATGTGCCAAATTTTAAAATTTAAGGTTTCTGTCTGCTAACATTTGAGGAAATCAGGACTTTTAGGATGAAGTTCACTCAAAACATACATACCATTTAAATACTACTTAAACTCTTTTTTTTTTTTTTTTAAAGGATCTCAATCTCAGTATGTTTAAGAGCCAGATATTTGCATGGGTTGGAATTTCACTCACAAAATCAGGACCACAAGAAAAAAAATGCTGGTCCTTGCTATCTGAAGTTTTAATAATGATTACTTTGCTAATCTACATTAATAATTTAGATCTATTTTCTGCCCTCAGATTCACTTATTAATTTCTGGATTTCCTCCAATACAATGGAAGAGTTAAGCCAGATTTGCACCACTGTAAAGGAGGGCAGAATTTGGCCTGACATTTATGTTGGCATGTTTGGTTGCCATACACAAATTCCATCTTTTGATCAATGGGATTTTCATCAGTGGAGGCCACTCATCATTCACCCGAAATACAAATACAGGCAGTCCCCGGGTTACGTACAAGATAGGGACTGTAGGTTTGTTCTTAAGTTGAATTTGTATGTAAGTCGGAACTGGTACATATTGTAGGGGAAACTCTAGCCAAACATTTCTCCAGAGCTCAGTTTTATTCTCCCACACCTCACTTCCCTCAGTCCTTTATTCTCAAGCTGAGGTGTCTGCTGAGAAAAGCCGCTCTGCGTCTCCCTGGTCTGCTGGGGGGCGGGAGGGGGGGTGCTAACTTCGCTTCTCCCTGGTCTGCTGGGGGGAAGCAGGTAGTGCGGGGTTGCCTCCCCCCATTTGTAAGTAGGGATCCGATGTAAGTCGGATCCATGTAACCCGGGGACTGCCTGTACTAGAAATTTCTATGAATTATTCCATTTGTTAAAAATGGTTTCTCCACTATACATTTCCAGAATATAGGTGTACAGGATTAGATCCTCAGCCAATGTAAATCTACATAACGCCACTGAAGTACACAGAATTATAACAATATTCACTAGCTGAGAATCTATGCCATACAATGTACTTTTCTGTCTACGTAGGTACTAATCCAAGTAACCAGCTTGTTTAAAACAGGATAGACCTGATTCTTAATTACACTAAGATCCCTTGAAATTATTCTGGAAGTGTAAAATGGCCTAAAACTGGGTGTAAAGTAAGTATAGCATACATGGAAATTAGGCCTGGCATCTCTAAACATAAAGGATTTTTAAGTATGATGTTGAATTTAATATACTCAAAATCTGATAGGAATAGATGACTAAGAAAGTACTTTGTTTTGCCAGTGTTCAAAAGTAAAAAAAAAATGTGCCTTGTGCAGTCTTATAAATAATGTATTATATATAATGTTAATGTACAAGTGTGTTCTTGTGCCATTATAATTTCATGTAATTCTGTATTTTGGAATCATTTATTAAAATTTGGGAATGTTTTTATGAGGGTAATAAGACAACTACTGTATGTATAATGTATCTAGAAGTTAACATTTTGTTTTAGGAGGTTGGCCATTTTTTCTGTTTTGCAAGTTTTTCTTTTTCTCTGTGGCCATCTCTAGTGATACATGCCAATAGTTTAACAATGGGTTTCTACTTATATTTTCCCTTCACTCTATGATAAATGCCCTGAATGGGGGGAGGGGGCCGGGGGAAACATTCCGGCAAGGAAAAACACAGCAGGAGTGGTTCATCCATTCTTGTCTTTTCCCATTTAAAGAAAAACACTCTCATAAAGGAAGCAGGAACAAAAGTATTTGGCAAACAAACATATTACTGTACTGGCAGAAGATGTTTATACAGATTTCCCTGTGCTGGGCTCCACTGGCACAAAGCAACTCTAACGCTATTACTGTCTGTGATGTGAATGGGATAGTGGGGTAACCAGAGGCATTGGAACAATTTATATAGCAGGGGTGCCGAACCAATCTGTATACCTTGTATATGATGGAAACCACTTCAAGCCAAAGGTTGTGTCAGCACACCTTGTTCCAGCACCTATGAAGTAATAGTTCCTATGCTAATCCTTCCTTGTGGTTGGTGTAGGACATATGAACAAAGCAGTCCCTGTTTACCGTAACAGCCTCTTGAGGTTGTTGTCGGTGCACGTAAGTTAAATCTGCTCTATATGTGTTCTACCAATCTACTAGAATTCTTTGTGGGGGTAAACAAGCATGTGGATATGAGTGATCCAGTGGATATAGTGTACTTAGATTTTCAGAAAGCCTTTGACAAGGTACCTCACCATTAGCTGTTAAGCAAAGAAAGCAGTTGTGGAATAAGAGGGAAGATCATCTCATGGATGAAAAACTGGCTAAAAGATAGGAAATACACGGTAGGAACAAATTATCAGTTTTCTGAGTGGAGAGAGGTAAATAGTGCTGTCCCGCAGGGGTCTGTTCGGTGACCAGTACTGTTCAATGCATTCATAAATTATCTGAAAAGGGGTCAACAGTAAAGTGGCAAAATTTGCAGATGATAAAAATTCCTACTCAAGGTAGTTAAATTTAAAGCAGACTTCGAAGAGTTACAAAGGAATCTCACAAAACTGGGTGTCTGGGCAACAAAATGGCAGATGAAATTCAGTGTCGATAAATGCCAAGTAATGAACATTGGAAAATATGACTTGAGCTCTACAGGTAAAATAATGGTGTCTATATTAGCTTTTAACACTCAAGAAAGAGATCTTGGTGTTATTATGGATGGTTCTCTGAAAACATCCACTCAGAAACAGCAGCAGTCAAAAAAAGCTAACAGAATGTTCAGAATCATTAGGAAAGGGATAGATAATAAGATAGAAAATATCATATTGCCTCTGTATAAATCCATAGTACACTTAACCCTTGACTAGTGAGTGCATGCACATATGTTTGCCGCATCTCTCTCTCTCTCTCTCTCTCTCTATGTGTGTTTAATTATATATATGTCGGAATTGGAAAAGGTTCAGAAAAGGGCAACAAAATGGTTAGGGGTATTGAACAACTTTCATATGAAGAGAGATCAAGAAGATGGAGACTTTTCAGCTTGGAAAAGAGATAACTAAAGGGGAATATAATAGGATCTATAAAATTGTGACCGGTGTGGAGAAAGTAAATAAGGAAGTATTATTTACTCCTCATAACACAAGAACTAGGGGCCACCATCATCAAATTAAATTAATAAGCAGAAGGTTTAAAACAAATCGATATATTTATTCACACAAGGCACAGTCAACCTGTGGAACTCTTTGCTGGAGGATGTTGTGAAGGCCATGACTAAAACAACATTAAAGAGAACTAGATAAATTCATGGAGGGTAGATCCATCAATAGCTATTAGGCACATGTATTGGGAGGCAAAACCATTCTCTTAAGTGTCTAGCCTCTGTTTGTCAGAAGCTGGGAATGGGTGACAGGTGATGGCTCACTTGATGATTACCTGTTCAGTTCATTGCCTCTGGGGCACCTGGCATTGGCCACTGTTGGAAAACAGAATACCAGGTTAGATGGACAATTGGTCTGAGCCAAGTATGGCCATTTTTATGTTCTTATACCTGGTAACCAGCCTGGTTCACAGTCAGCCCAGAGCCAGGTCACCTGTGCACTCTTCCCCCTTCCCCCTCCAAGAAGTACTGTGCATAGTTCAGTCAAAGATAGAGCCCAGTATATTTTTCAGGAGCAAAACGTATTAGCAGTACTGTTTATGATAATTGGAATGGTGATGGGAAATGAAGACATTGCACAGGGGATTTTGGGCATGAGAAGATTCCACCTTTCAGGCTATGTGTTTGCAAATACTTGACACCCACTAAGGCACTTCAAAGGCAAAAATCTTTTCTCTCTAGAGTATTGTGAAGTAGGGCTGGAAGAGAGTTTAGGAAGTTATCGAGTGCATCTGCCCCATACGCAAACCAAGAAAACACAGAACATCCCTGACAGGCGTTTATTCAATCTGTTCTTATAAACCTCCTGTCACAGGAATTCTACAACTTTCCTTGGAAGCCAGATCCAGATTTTATATCTTAGGCTGTGTCTCGAATACATCCCTCTTTCTACAGAGGAATGTAAATTAGACACTTTGAAAGTGCAAATGAAGCGGGGATTTAAATATCCCGTGCTTCATTTGCATAATCGCATCATGGCGTTCTTTTGAAAAAGCGCCATTTCAAAAGTAAAACCATGGTCTAGATACGGTTCTTTCGAAAAGGTCAGGCTTTTTCGAAAGATTCTGTAAACCTCATTCTTTGAGGAGTACAGTATCTTTTGGAAAAGCCTGCCATTTTCAAAAGAACCACATGTTTTTACTTCCAAAATGGTGCTTTTTCGAAAGAGCGCCATGACGTGATTATGCAAATGAAGCACGGGATAGTTAAATCCCTGCTTCATTTGCACTTTCGAAGTGTCTAATTTACATCCCTCTGTCGAAAGAGGGATGTAGTCTAGACACAGCCTTATCGTTGATAAATTTTCGTAATATATAATCAAAATTTTTCTTGCTTCAGATTAAGCCAATAATTTCCTATCCTACTTTCAATGGTCATGGAGAACAATTGACCAATGTCCATGTTATAACAGCCCATAACATATTGAAGAATATTTGCTTCCCAATCTTTTTTCAAGACTGACCATATTCAGTTTTTTTAAACATGTCCTCAAAGATTCTCCTAAATTCACCTTCACTTTAGGGTCAATATTTTGACAACAGGGTAACCAAAAGCCAGCCAGAGATCTCCACCTGGCACAATGATCCTGTTCATTTTCAGATTTCCCCCCCGTACTTCCCTCATCCTGTACCAGCCAAATTCCCTGGCATGAGAGACATTTATCCAAGATCATGTTGTCCATGTGATACTCACAATTTCACATTAAGTTTCAAATGTATTAAAACCACAGGCACACCATTTTGAGATTGATCCTTTTACCATGTTGTACTGTTCACTTGACACCGACAGTCTATGCTGACTTCTAGTGAAAACTGTGTAAATTGCTTTTACTCTGATTTTCTGCCTGAATAGCAAGTTTGAGAGAGAGAGAGAGCAATCTATATGGCATTCTTATTACTTACTCATTTATGGAAGTACATTTATTCCAAACTACAGCCTTAAATGATACATTATTTAATAAAAATCTGATATCAGCCTCCCTTTGTTTAGTCATTTAGTCTCCTCTCATCCCAACAATAAACATTTTGCTTTTGCTTTTTAAAATTCAGCATTTTTATTGAGAGCAGAAAAAGTGTAACTATTTGTAGGTACCATGTGTGGCAGAGCTCTGGTCATGCCTTGTGGGTCTTGAGCTTCTAGGCGGTTATAATATACCTCAAAGGCTCGCCATGTCCCTCCACACTGCCTCTTATCTTTTCTAGAGGCCAGACTCACAGCCTTCTGAGCCATTCTCAGAATTGGCAATGTTAAAGGATTGGGGTGAAATTTCTCCATAATCCTTTTAGATTTTTTAGTGGTGTGGGAGGAATTGGGGAGCAGGAGCATATTGGCAATCAACATAGGCCCGGGAAATGGGTTGAGAATGGCCCTCCCCATGATGTCACCCCTGAATCATGTCCGGCATGTG